GATATGAAGAAATTCAAAAGAACCAATGTGATTTTAGAATTTTTGAGCTGACACTTAAACATATGTCAGTTAAGTTCAAGAGGTTTTTTTCCCAGTTTAAAACGCATGAACTGTGAGGTCCCCTGCACATTGGATCAGAGGGTCTCAGTGGGTCTTAGACCTTCAAGTGAAATATGCATAGGATTGTAGCCTGAAAACAAAAAAGCCCTTCCACTGCCAACAGACGAAGAAAGGAGTAAATGAGTTTATTGGAATGAAAATAATTTGGAACTAGTAGTGGGAAAGTAGGATCATAACTTCCTGGAAAGCTGATGTGAGGGACAGAACAATATATCCATTGATATAGTTAACATTACTTGATTTGCACATAGGTTCTGATTGTTCTGATAATCAGAAAGGAGAGGGAGTTCCATCAAGTGCAAGTCACTCAGAAAGCCTGAGGAGAGGGAGTTCCATCAAGTGCAAGTCATTCAGAAAGCCTGTTTTTTTTGTTTTGTTTTTTAATGCCTGTAATTTGCCTGGACTATATTTGAGAGGTCATTGACTATGCAAAAGCCTTTGATTGTGTGGACCACAACAAACTATGGCAAGTTCTTAAAGAAATGGGAGTGCCTGACCACCTTATCTAAATCCTGAGAAACCTATATGTGGGACAGGAAGCAACAGTTAGAACTGGACATGGAACAACCGATTGGTTCAAAATTGGGAAAGAAGTACGACAAGGCTGTATATTGTCTCCCTGCTTATTTAACTTATATGCCAAATACATCATGTGAAAGTCTGGACTGGATGAATTCCAAGCCGGAATTAAGATTGCTGAAGAAATATCAACAACCTCAGATATGTAGATGATACCACTCTGATGGCAGAAAGTGAGGAGGAATTAAAGAACCTCTTAATGAAGGTGAAATAGGAGAACGCCAAAAATGATCTGAAGCTCAACATCCAAAAAACTAAGATCATGGCCACTGGTCCCATCACCTCCTGGGAAATCGAAGGGGAAGATACGGAGGCAGTGACAGATTTTACTTTCTTGGGCTCCCTGATCACTGCAGATGGTGACAGCAGCCACAAAATTAAAAGACACCTGCTTCTTGGGAGGAAAGCATTGACAAAAAGAAGTGATCTTTTTAATATGTAGACAGCATCTTAAAAAGCAGAGACATCACCTTGCCAACAAAGGTCCGCATAGTCAACATTATGATTTTCCCAGTAGCGATGTATGGAAGTGAGAGCTGGACCATAAAGAAGGCTGACTGCCAAAGAATTGATGCTTTTGAATTGTGGTGCTGGAAGAGACTCTTGAGAGTCCCCTGGACTGTAAAGAGAGCAAATCTATCCAGTTTGAAGGAAATTAACCCTGAGTGCTCACTGGAAGGACAGATCCTGAAGCTGAGGCTCCAGTACTTTGGCCATCTCATGAGAAGACTCGACTCCCTGGAGAAGACCCCGATGTTGGGAAAGTGTGAAGGCAAGAGGAGAAGGGGACGACAGGGGACGAGATGGTTGGACAGTGTCATCAAAGCTACCAACATGAATTTGACCCAACTCTGGAAGGCAGTGGAAGACAGGAGGGCCTGGCGTGCTCTGGTCCATGGGGTCACAAAGAGTCGGACATGACTTAACGACTAAACAACAACAAATATTTGAGAGGAGGTGCTCTTCTCAAGGCTCTGTGTCAGAAAGAATCATGAATATAGGGAGATAAGTAAAGATAATTGTAGGTAGGAAGTATATGCTAGCAATTCAATGTGGCCTGTTACAGAAGCCCAGAAAGGTCACCCCACATGCTTGTAGATCAAGGATTTGACTTACTGTGTGGCCACGGACATCTCATAATCAGTCAGCTTCAGATCATTTTTACATAGAAATTAAGGGTTGCCAGCTCAGCAGCATCTGATTCCTTCAGATTTCAGGCTCAAAATTAGTGACTAGGGGTGGGTCCCTGTGATGTCACATATGGTGCAAACAAGGGGCAGAAGAGGGTACTAGAACTGCTTATGGGTCAGCTGACTGTGAAAATGGGCTTGAGTGGAATCCAAATAAATGGCCCAGACTCTTGATAGAATCCTGCTAACCAGGCAATATGGCAACGAAGAACCATGGGAAAAAGCAAAAACTTTGGCAGCCGTGCAGGTAGAAAAAAATTATCTCAGTGCCAGCTGGAGAACTGTGAAGATAGCACACCCAAACTTTAAAACTGCCTCACACACAAAAATGGGTCTCTCTCCTCCTTCAGTGTGGTGCACCCACTCACTGATTTAGTCCTGAGAGACCTGGAGAAGAAAAACGATTCACTGAGACAAACTGACATCCCTGAGGCCTGACAAGCCTACACCCTTCAGAGGCTTGTGAGAGAGCAGGCAAAAGACACCATTCAAGCCCCTTTGAACTTTCAAGATGCTACCATAATATTTTCAATAAAAAAACAACAATGGTTCAATATTTGTATAAAGTAAATATTTTTGGAAAGAAAGCATTATCCTGTGTTTAAGGCTTGAAGGCCTGCATTTTCATGACAAAAATCCCTTTTCTTCTTTTGTGTAGTGGCGACAGTATCCATTTGTATCTCACATTCCTAAGTGTGCAGTGTTTCTGACAAAGATAGCAATCACCATAAAGTGAAGTCAATTGGATAAAGAAACTCCTGCTTGCCTGGAATTCAACCTCTTTCTCTCTCTCTCATTTTCAGGCCCCTAAAGGGTGACTAGAGAAAGGTGCTTCTCAGTCTCGTCCCTCCCATCTGTCGAATGCCCTCCCGAAAGAGATGTGCCTGACAGCCTCCTTGGTAGCATTTAGTAAGATACCAGGCTAAGGCCTCTTTCTCCTGCCTGGTGTTCTGTCCCAGATGTCAGATACAAAACAACGTTGCCTTGTGGTCCAGAAGTATAAGCACAAGTCGGAATTCAGTAATATTTTTATTACAGCTTACATGATTCCCAGTGTGGTATAAGTGGAAAGAGTGAAGGACTAGAGCTTTGGAGAACAAGGTCTGAATCCCCACTTGGCCATGGAAAGTCACTGGGGGGAGTGTGACTGGTAAACCACTCCTTGAATATCCTACATCCTTTCAAAGTGTGACTGGTAAACCACTCCTTGAATATCCCACATCCGTTCAAAGCCCTGTTTGGGTTGCTGTAATTTGGTTCTGACATAATGGTGTTTGGGTTGCTGTAAGTTGGTTCTGACTTAATGGCACTGAACACATATTTTTATTAGGACATTAAAATATTCTAGAAGTAGTGCATAAGTGGCATGAGCTTTCAAATCAGTCAGAATTCCCTGTCAAGTAAAATTAGTATAAAAATTAAGGGAACTGAAACTGCTTACAATGAATAGCCATTTGAGTCTCAGCTGGCCCTCATGTTGGGAGGGATGGGGAGATACTATTAGCAGTACATAACAATAATTAAAATGTGTTTTTTAGAGAAGGAAAAAACTCTTCACCAAACCTACAATCTACTTTTTGCAACTCCAAAGAGATAATTACCAATCTTCATCTTAGGCATCCTTCAGTCTCGAGAGACTATGGTAACATGCTCCGTATCGAGGACTTGGAACAGCGTCTAGTGTGGCTAAAAAGGCCAATTTGAGAGTGACAATCCGTTCCACACTGAAGACAAATACAATCTGTCCCCTGTCCAGCTCCCTGATTTTGTTGCTTTCGTGACTGCCTCTTTGCCTCGGCCTGTTGGACAAGGGTCTCTTCAGATTGGGAGAGGCCATGATGCACCACCTGCCTCCAGGCTGAATGGTCAGACGTCAAGGTTTCCCATCTGTTGAGGTCCATTCCTAAGGCCTTCAGATCCCACTTGCAGATATCCTTGTATTGCAGCTGTGGTCTCCCTCTGGGGCGCTTTCCCTGCACTAATTCTCCATATAGGAGATCTTTTGGAATCTGACCATCAGCCATTCTCACCAGATGCCCAAGCCAACGTAGACGTTGCTGTTTCAGTAATGTATACATGCTGAAAATTCCAGCTCAATCTAGGACTACTCTATTTGTAACTTTGTCCTGCCAGGTTATACCAAAAATGCGTCGGAGACAACGCATATGGAAGGTGTTCAGCTTCCTCTCCTGCCGTGCACAAAGGGTCCAGGACTCACTGCAGTACAGGAGTGTGCTCAGGACACAGGCTCTATAGACCTGGATTTTGGTGTATGCCATCAGCTTCTTATTAAGCCATACTCTCTTTGTGCGTCTAGAGAACATGGTAGCTGCTTTCCCAATGCATTTATCCAGCTCGACAATTACCTATACATTGGATCAAATGTTCTCCTTGAGATGTCTGACCTGGTCCCAGTGACATATTCCTTAGTTATATTTTGTTTGGATTCCTACAACATGCTCTATGCGTACATGGGCTCCCTTTGAAGAGTGTTTGGAAACCTTGGATACTTCAAAATGCTGCAGTCAGATTGCTAACTGGTGCTGGTTACAAGGAACATCTCACTCCCTTACTACTTCACTGGCTACCAGACTCAATTCAAAGTGCTGATTATTACCTATAAAGCGCTATATGGCTTGGGTTCAGGCTCTTTGAAGGATCATCTCTTTCTGGGGAGGCTCTTCCCTCACTTTCTCCACCTTCCCAAACTTGTTTCTTGAGGAGCCGAGAGAGGGCCTTCTCAGTAGCTGTTTCCAGGTTTTGGAATGTACTGCCCCATGGAGCTAAGTTGGCCCCCTCTCTCTGGTTCTTCCATCATCAGGCAGAGACCCTCCTTTTCAGGATGGCTTTGAAGCAATACGTGAGGGTGTTAGAAATGCTGTATGTATTGAATGGAGAGATTTTTAAATGTTTTAAAAATGTTTCTAAAATTGTTTTTAATTGTATTTTTAGTATTCATAGATGTTTGGTTGCTTTTTACTGTAGATTCTTATGGTGTTATGAAACATGATTACTTTACAGTTTTAATTCTTTATGAAACACCTTTGGGCCTCTATGAGGAAAAAGGTGGTATATAAATAACATAAATAAACATGTTCCATTCTCTCCTAGTTCTTGAACCATTTCACCTGATGAAAAGAACTTGAAAGCTTGTATCACATATGCATCACTTCTGCAACATTAAAGTACAGTAGTCCTAATACAGTAAAAGGTACTGTATTACCCAACATCAATTTTAGCTCTTGGTGTATGTTCTTATCTTCGCCCACTCCCCTGTTTAAGTTTTATAGCTGGCTTTTAACATCTTATCATTGTGACATTTCAATACAATTCAGTAAATAGTTTGTCTCATGGAATTTTTGATTTTTACTGATTATTTTTATAGTTGTAAACTGCTCTGAGGGGATAGCTCATCAGGCAGGAAGTGCTATATGAATATTTTAAATAAAGAAATAATTTCAGTTTATTTGTGTTTACACTGAAATTCTTTCTTTCCTGTAGAACGTTGTGTTAGGCTACTGGTTTTTATATTAAATTTATATAGCACTCACTAACTTAGAGGACCAATCTACATATTTTAAAAATGTATGTGGTACAGCTTTCCTGAGCTGGTACCATTTGGGAATGTGCAGGGGGATTTTACTATTGCATAATCTTCAAAATCAGAACCCCGAACCCTAGAAAACTGATGTGTTGGTAAAAAATTAACCAACCTCTCTCTCTTTTATGTTAAGTTTTAGCATGTTAGAACCTTTTTACACTCTGATACAACATGCACTGATACCAGTAAGGGCATACCACACACAAGTGAGTTCTTAACCAACCCCCAGCTTATTAGAGGGCCAATCACATAATGCAAAATTGAAAAATTATCAATGCTATTGTTCTGCACAGCACTGGGATTTATATGTGATGTACAGTATTGGTTGAATTGATCATCAATGCATATAGCATGGAACCTGGGCTAATGAAGAAAATAGGCAGATAGATAACTAATTGTTTCCCTCTTCAGTCTTTTCCAAATTTCTTACATGCATATTTTTGTTACATTTACACTCATTTCTTTCCTCTGAGGTCACTTTCTGTTTGTTGCTCTGTACCTGCTTCAAGGTAGGGGACTCTATAATAAGTAGCAGCAAAAGATGAGTTGTAGCAAGTCTGTTCCAAGGGCTTCTGTAACCAAGTTTAGAGATCCCCCTTGTTTGCATTTCCTATAAATGTATTCAAATATAATTTTTTCTGATTCTGTTTTCACATACGACTAGTGTTTAGAGCAGCGATGGTGAACCAATGGCATGAACCTCTGAGGGCACATGAGCTATAAGTCGCCGGATTGCTACTCCCTCCCCCCCCGCAGCCAAACCTGCGAAGGCGGCAACAGCCACAGTGCTGGCACTTCAACAGGTGTCGGGCCAGGATCCGGAGCAGCTGGTGCTGATGGTGGATCCCAAGCCGGGTCTTGAGGCATCTCCGTGCCTAAGATTCCCCCTTCCACCACCACTTCTGGTTCTGCCGCCGTGGCCCACCACCCACTTAGTTTTTTGTTTTGTTTTTTCAGTTTGGGCACTCGGGCCCAAAAAGGTTCACCATCACTGGTTTAGAGTGTTTATTCCTAATCAATAGTTTCATTAGCCTGCTGAAGTTTGGAAGCATAAATATAGAGTCATCCCAGCAATTTTAATTCTGTAATTTGCTTTTACACTGAGATACAATAGCACACATAAAGGCAAGCCAACTGCTATACAGATTTCCTTATTTTACCAGCAGGATGGTTGTTGCAGACCATTCTGCTATATGCATTTTTGCATTAAGAAGTTCTTATGGGCCTACATCCAAGCTAGCTGTGACTACAGTATCTGCATCAGCCTGTTTGGCACACAAGCTGCATTGCTAAAAGGATAAATCTGGTGCCTGTTGTTGATTTTTTTTCCTTAGTAGTTTGTCATTCTGTCCTTTTGATTATTGTCCATGCTTCTAGTCTACGCAACCAATCATCAGCTCCTAGCATAGTATAAACCCCAGGCAGGTGGTTAAAGAGTGCCTGTTCCATCTCCGCCGTGTCAACATTTCACACTGTTGATGATGATTGGCCACCCCCTTTAATTTTCAACATGGTATCACAGGGTGGGAATTGATCCAGCTGGCCAGCAATTGGGGAATATGTGCTTGAGCTGTAGTCAAGGATACCTGAAAAGTATACCTCCCACTGTGTGAGCTACAATGAAGACACTTTTAAACAGAATGAGACAGATCATCAGGCGGAGGAGAGAAAAGTGGAGGCACCTCGCCAGCTTCTTATCTAAGTGACAGCATGATGCTGACTGAGATCATAATCTGGCCCAAAGAGTGCTGAGGAGAGGAGAAAAGAGAAGAAAAGAGACAGGTCAGAAGAGAAGGTGAAAACATCTTTAAGCGGAAATGTCAGAGATACGAGAAGAAAAATAATTAATCATGTTCCAATTGGAGTCTTGATGACTCTTTAGAGAAAAATGCAAAATTAATAGTCTCCCAATGGAGGACTAAAGCTACTGGGCTTATAGTATCTATAACAAATTAGATAACCAGGCACACAAAAAGCAACAATCTAATACACCTCATTTAAAAAGTGTTGGGGGGGGAGGGCTTGAGATGATGGTCTGTGTGCACGTGGAATTATCACACTGCGCTAGAATACTCAGCTTCTCAGCTGGAAGCTCTGTGCTCTAATCCCAGGAGTAGAAGGTTGAGGAGAAGGAAAAAAGAATGGGCAAATAATGTCCCCAATCCTAGTTACAATCTAGAATTTTTCCATTGATATCTATGGGAAACTTTCACCTTCATCCTTGGGGCCACTTTAAAATACAGTGGTGCCTCGCTAGATGATAATCCATTCCATTGAAATCGCTGTTTAGCGAAATCATTGTCTAGCGAAAAGCATTTCCCCATTGGAATATATTGAAACCTGTTTAATGCGCTCCAATGGGGAAGAATCATCATCTAGCGAAGATCGGCCATAGGAAAGCTGCTTTACGAACTGCCGATCAGCTGTTTAAATAGCTGTCTTGCGAAGCTTAGATCCCGAAAACACGGGTTTTGCAAGCGCGGAGGGAGCTGTCAAAATCGTTGTCTAGTGAAAATTGGTTTGCAAAGCAGGGACCAAACGTTGTCCAGCGAAATTCTCTCATAGGAATCACTGTTTTGCGAATCGCTATAGCGATCACAAAAAAATCAATATCTAGCGACAAAAACTCATGCGGGGTAACTGTCTAGCAAGGCGCCACTGTAGTTTCTCATGGTGCACCAGGAAATGTGCTATCCCATTAGTGATATGGGCATATCTGTTCTCTTTATTTCTTTGTCCAACCATTCTTTTCAAGAACTCTACATACACCCACGAGCATTCTTACAATTCCACATCATATCAGTTTCCCCATGGATCTTTCTCTCACATAGTGGAAACATAGCTAAGTCCATACCAATAGGAGTGTCTGGTTTCTGGATGCCAGCTGAAGTCTCAAGTTACTGCAATGATTCTCCAGGTTTCCAGAAAGGAGACAAATTTCAGGGTAAGTATCACCGGAGGTGGAGAAATATCAGACTTTTGCTTATCAAGTACCTTTAAAACTAGGCACCCTTCCCTCACTTCACGTAGCACACGTAGAAGCTATTTTAAAAACTCCTCTGAGAGGTTGGAGCTCCCTATGGGCATCAGTGGAAAAATACAAGATTTTACTGTATCCCGGATTGGGAACAAGTTTATCCTTTCTTCCTGTTGTAATTCTCGTTTCCTTAATTTTGTAGACAACATTTGAGACCTAGGTTAAGAACGATACTTTGCAAGTACGCATTGATTTACTCATCACAAGCAAGACGTTTCAGGGCAGACAGCGACATCTGTACACCCATTAAGAGAGACAGTAACCAGAACCTTTTGTGGTGCAACCTTTTGTGGTAAGGGTGCAACTTGTTACATACTGTCAAGCCACCTCTGACCTATGGTGACCCTGTGAATGAGAGATCTCCAAAATGCCCTGTCCTCAAGAACCCTCCTCAGCTCTTGTAAATTCAAGCCTGTGGCTTCCTTTTGGGAGTCAATTCATCTCATCTATGACCTTCCTCTTTTCCTGCTGCACTCAACCTTTCCCAATGTTACTGTATTTTCCAGAGAATTTTGCTTTCTCATGATGTACCCAAAGTAGGACAGCCTCAGTTTCAATTTTTTCCCCTCCAGAGATAGTTCAGGCTTGATTTGATCTAGGCCCCACGTGTTTGTCCTTTTGGCAGTCCATCAAAGCGGTCCTCCAGCACAATTTTTCAAACAAATTCATTTTTTCCTATAAGCTTTCTTTACCGTTCAGGTTTCACACCTGTACATGGTAATCAGGAATACAAAGTGGATGATTTTGGTCTTGGTCTTCATTAACACATCCTTACACTTGATGATTTTTTTTCTAACCTCCTTCATTGCTGCCCTTCCAAGTCTCAATCTTTTCTGATTCCTTGGCGGGACTCTCCACTTTATTCAATTATTGAACCAAGGTATCCAAAATCTTTCACTATTTCAGTTTCTTCATTGTCAATCTTAAAGTTGTGTAGTTCTTCTGTAGTTATTATTTTTGCATACAACAGGAAAAATGTGAAGGCACAGAACCATAAAATAATGGAGTTGGAAGGGTCTATAAGCCACCAAGTCCCACCTTGCTCAATGCAGGAATCCAAATCAAAGTATATCTGACACATGGTTGTCCAACTTTCTCTTGAATGCCTTCAGTTTTGAAGTGCTCACAAGCTAATTGGTTTCATTGTCATATGGCCCCAACAAGAAGTTTTTCCTAATATTCAACCAGACTCTGGCTTCCTGTAACTTGAGCCCATTTCTCCTAGTCTCTGGAATGACTGAGATCAGATTCTACTCCTATGACAGCCTTTCAAGTATTTGAAGAATGCTATCATATTTTCCCTCGGTCTTCTTTTCTCAAGGTTCAACATGCCCAGCTCTTTCAGTTTTTCCTAAGATGGTTTAGCTTCCAGTTACCTAATCATCCTTTTTTTCCATCCTCTGATTCATGTTAAGAATCCTTCTTAACATGCATTGTCCAGAACAAGACACAGCACTCAACATGAATCCTAACCAGTGCTAAATAGTGGGGAACTAGTTTGTTGTGTGATTTGGAGAGTGTAGCTCTGTTAATGCAGCCTAAAATGGCATCTTCCTATTTTTGCAGCAGCATC